GGGAGGGAGGTAGGTAGGTAGGTAGTAGTATGAGTATGATTGTTTCAGGAAGTGTATATAATCCAGTCAAATACTCAAACTGTAGGCTCAACAGTGATCATAAAGCTCTTGATTCCCCTAGCACCAATGAGGGGCCATTTGATCAAGTCGTAGTGAGTTGTAGTGAGTGCCTTTCTGGATCTTCCAGCGGACCAAATGCAAACCCCACCAATAAGCATCTTCTACGGCGTCCCGCTGTCCGCTCATCTCTCCATCTCGAGACAAACCCTGGTCGTCGATGAGACAAAAGCTGCCAGGGGCGGCTGACCCAGCCCTAGCCGCAGACACGTGGCATTTGTTTGAAGAGTCCAGGGTCCACGACCTGAAGCGGACGAGACGACGAGCGTCGTGGCGTGACAGACGCGTGCGGTCCGAACTCCTCAGGGGGTTCACATGGGTCAAGATATACACCTTCCAGTCGTACCGAACCTCAGGTTCGGTACGACAGGTACGACTGGACCCGAAGACAGTACCTATACCTGGATCCTCCTTTGGGCGGAAAAAAGTGCCGGACCTCAATCCGGCAAAATTGTCCGCCGGTTTCCGAAAAAAACGCCGGAGACATGAAAAAACATCCGGATACAAGATTCTGAAAAACAGAGATGATAACAGGTCGGATCATACATCAGGAAATTGCCTTTGCGCCGCGAGTAGCCCTTCTGGAGCACACTCGAACCTTCCCGTTCCCATTGCCCTCGCCCATCTTCCGAATGGCCTAAGAGCAGAACCATCACAAAATATAAGCAACTTGTGCCCAAGCAAAGACTTCCAAGAAGAAACCAAGGAGCATGTGGCAATGAACTCATCTTTCTCTGCAACCGTGTCTCTAAAGTGTTTTTTTACAAAGTGGGTTGCTCTCCATGATTCTTATGCTTCTTAATGTTTCTTTAAAGCTTGCCTCAGGACGGCCCCCCAATAAAGTAGCAGAACTCATGGCTCCTGTCAAAACTCTTCTTTGCAAGAAAAATTTCTCAAAGTCAAAACCAAAGCCTGCAGAAGACTCAGTCCAAAAAAACCGTCGGAGTTACGGGAAATTACGCCGGAGTTACGACGTGCCATTTTTTGACAACTCTCTGCAAAACATTAAGATTCTGAACAACACATGTTCCACAGCCCAAAACTTGTCCGGCAGGCTCTGCAAACCTGCGCAGCTAGAACTATATCCCAGCGCCCCGACATCCTGAAACAATGGGAGTACATTTTTACCTATGCTCTTTCAGCCTAGGTACGCCCACTTGGGTCTTTCAACAAGTGCATCGCACTGTACCGGCTTCATCCGATTTCATTTAGAAGATCACCTAAACGGATCTGATTGATCCAGTGTGAACCATGCTGAAACCGATGGAATGAGAAAACAGCGGAACAAGCAAACGAGCACACTTTGCAAACAAACTCATTCATCAATATGCATCAATAGTGGGTTTACCTTCAAAAAAATGCAGACCACAAAGAATGCAAAGCCTTGAGAATCCACATAAAGTGACTTGGAAAAAGCGCCGGACCAAATCCAGAAAAACGCCGGAGTTGGAAGTCCGGCGCCGGACCCTGTAAAAGTGCCGGACTGAAGATCTAGGTATACATTACACAACAGTGTCGAACACAGCACCTGATGACTGGATCCCTAGGGCTACACAGGGCTACACACTTGCCGTCTTGCTATGAAACAAAGCACCCCATCAGCAGGATTCCTTGAAACATGGGGTGATCCATGGAACCGTGCACGGTCACATGATGTGGACATGGGGCGGTCGACGACTCGGGGCTACGTTCTAGGGCTCCATGGGTCAGACGTCGGAGCCCTCCCAAGGGTCAACATGAGGTAGCGATGCCCGGGTTCCTAGTAGCGGTGCCAGGAGCTACGTTCGTAGCATTCTTGTTCCGTTCGTAGCGTCCGATCGCTCCGAGTAGCGATGCCCTTTGTTACGTTCGTAGCCTCTTGTTCCTAGTAGTAAGGCCAGGAGCTGCGTTCGTAGCGTCCCATGCTTCATAGATCTTCATAGCAACCTTCCATGATCTGTCAACTGTTCAGAATCTGAACACAAAAGCAATCAATCTTTGCTTCGATTCCTCCTCGGAGCTTCCAAAACCTGCACTGGAACCATGGGAAGCTTCTTGCTACTTCTACTAGCTTCCAAAGACCGCTCCTAGTAGAAAAAACAAAAAGAACGAACGCCGCCGCACCGGTGCGTCGCCGCCGCACTTGCTTTCCCAAGCGGCGAAGACCACGCCGTCGATCGTCAAGGAGGTCTCGGCGATGTTCGTGGCGACCTCGGGGCAAACGGGACCGGCCGAGGGTTCTCAGGTCCGACGGTTTCCGGGCGGACGGGTCCGTGGACGGGAGAGGTCGGGGGCTCTGGCGACCGAGAGGTCGGGGTGAAAGCGGTCTGGAGCGCCGGTTTTCGGGCGGGGTGGGTGTTTGGCCGGGGTTCAGCAGTCTGGAGGGAGTTGGGGAAGCCAGTTGTATGAATGGATGTTGCGGTATTTCTGCACCGAGTGACATCATGAGACAAGGTTCCCGTGATCTGTCATGTTTTCAAATGCTTTCAGTTCTCTCAAAACTGGTGCGCGGTCTCAAATTCCTTCTGATCTGGTTTAAAATGGTTTAACTTAGGGTTCCTACAACAAGAAACCAAGTGAGTGACAATGTTTCAAAGGGATGCAGGTAGCAAATCCATGGCACATATGAACTTCGGAAGACCCGGATCTGCGCGCTATGGTTGATTGGTCAACCAACCTTCAGCTGTGTAGCTCAAATAGGTAGACCTCCCAGGCGTTCCGACCCGCTCCAGCGGACAGGTCGACTAGCCTACCCAGCCGGACAGGTCCCCCGAATGGTCTCCACCTCCCGGAACGCGTTCACAGAGCGTTCCCCACAATGATCTTGCGGGTGCCCTCGGGCGCTGGTGGAAACACGCGCCTGGCGCAGGCTGCAGGCTGCACCGCGGGCTGCGCCCTTCGGAGCCCGCCCTTCGGAGCCATTTGGGAGCCCTTCCGAGCGTGTCCTTTCTTTTTTGGGGGGGGGAGGGGTGATGCCGGTGAGCGCCCCTACTTTTATGCACATCAAAGGATAACACGGTTGACCATCCATTTTGGTCCTGGTTGGACTCGGGAAGACAGACCTGATGGACTCGGTGATGCAGAAACCTTTCTTTCTATTGGACAGTGATCGCTTAAGACGCGTCTCTTTACTGGACACGGTCAGTCATATTTCAAGCGTATTGAAGAACAAGAAAAAAGGACGAGGACCATCCGAGGTACGTAGGTAGACCCAGACATTGAGGAGAGCGGGATGATACAGCAGGCCTGAGGAAAATTGTCTGAGACTGCCAAAAAGGCGAGTAAAGGTGACCCATCATTATTGTATATAATGGATTATAATATGTTTAAATCTGTTTTATAATTAGTTCTGTTTCTGTGGTCAAAATGGAGAGCAAATATGCCGACAACTCCGAATCATTACTAGTCCTGCTTCTTTTGCTTCTCTTTCTCTACACCACAAGCACCAAATACTCCTTAGATCTTAAACCAAAGAGAACCATCGAAACGTTGTAACTGTTGTAAGCACGATTCTTCTGGAGACTCCGCCTCTGCTGGTTCATCGGCAAGGAGGAGTAGAGTGGAAGCACCTCAGCTGAAATACCACGGCACCAATGCCTGCAGGCAAAAGTCTCAAGCTGACTGCCAGTTCAATATTAACAGTTTGATGAGAACCAATCTGCAAGTTTACAAAACATACACAGCGTCTGTCCATGGGGGATTCTAAATGATTAGATTCGTCAAAGTACAGGGCAAATAATATGATTCTCTTAATTACTCCTGACGATGCATTGCTTAGTCACGCACCTGCCGATTCTGCAAACCAGAGAGGGGTATGAAGCCCATCCAGAAGAGGGTCACCAAAGGTGGAAGTCGACTCTATCCTCATCCCGGACTAGCCGACGCTTCGCAGGGCCGCGACATTCGCGATCGCGTGGTTCGCCATGAATGGTCTCATGGTTTTTCCACACACCATCTCCGACCCACGGCAGTCTTCCAAATGACCTCGCGTCGCCTGGCCCGACCTCCGTCGACGCTCCGAGGGGCTAAAGTCTCCTGGCCGGTCTCCTGCGCCGACGAAGACTGGCGAAGAAGGGAAGGACTTAGCTCTTGGAACCATTTTGAGGAGTTTCTACAGTTCTGGCGTTGTCATGATTTCGATGCTTTGTATGTGTTGTTTTTTTTTACATGTAGGTTCGCGAAACCAGGGGATCCAACCAGTGCTGATGAAAAAGACAGAAAGCTTCTTGTACCAGGACCTTCCAACAGAGTCCAACAGGTGGATTTTGGACACCCTTCAATTAACCTCTAAGAGGGGCTATTGATAGACACCTCAAACGGAGGATCCTGGTAGAGAAGATGAGCAACATCACCCCTTTTCCATCTTCTGACGATCCCTCGGCACCATGATGTTTTTCGTAGAGCCTTCGGCGATCCCCATCGACATTGCTTGGCCGCCATTCCGCCCACCTGAGTCCTGGACCGCCATGGAAGATATGGAAGATATGGACCGCCTATGTTTGAACAATCACGACATACGTTTCCACCAGTACCGGCCGGGGCCAGATATAGAGGAGACTGGCTGATATAAGAAAACACTGAGAATTACCATGGTTGGAGGCAGAACCACAATGCTACACACGAGCTACGCGAGTCATTCGGGGTCGTGTGACCAGGCGGCCGCCACCAGCGGTTGCTCGGTCGCTCAGCGCGTCCTCTCGGACCCCGGCGCCTCCGCCCGAGCCTGGATCTCAGCGCACGCCTGGCCAGTCGAAAGATCTCCCACCTCTCTCAAGGTCAATGCAGTTGGTACCAGTTCTCCCGAAGCAGACCATGAGAAACAACGGTGTTCACATACAAAAGCCATGTTGTTTGCAAGGAGAACACCCGGTTTTTGATGGGCCATGTGGGGCCGCTGGTACTGTATGGTACTGTAGCAATCCTTCCATGCTGACCCAAAAATATGTTTGGATGCCTTCAGGTCCCATTTCTGGAGATGATGTATGCATACGTGCTGATTTGGAAGACCATAGCCGCCACAGCCTTTTGATCCCTCATGATCCAGTGGGTGAGTATGGGGGTCTACGGGGTCTAAGTCCTTTCTTCCAAACACACCCCATTTCAATACACATCCACTACATCGCAAGACCAGGAGCTCGATTGAGATCCCTCCAGGTCCGTTGGACCTCATAGAGTTGATCCCTGGGATCAGATGTTTGCTGGGTCAGACTGCACCGAGACGGTGCGGGAAACATGGACCGTGTGGTGTCGACACATCCTCAAAACGCACCTCCGGTCACTGAATTGGCGATGTCCGGATCCGGAAGGTTTTTTTTCCCCAAACAGTGGTGGATTTCAGGAAATCAATGTGCGTAGACTGATGTAGACTCACCCACCCCATGGATTGAACAACCTCTTCAGGCCTGGGGAGATTTATTAGATCAAAAGTCAATGTGTGGCCAGGTGAAAACGCTCGTCCAATGGAGTCGTTGGGGAATGGGATAGCCCCTAGTAGCGTCCGATCGCTCCGTTCGTAGCGATGCCCGAAATGCTCCGTTCGTAGCGTCCGATCGCTCCTAGTAGTAAGGCCAGGAGCCCCGTTCGTAGTTGATGCCATGTGTTCTCTCTCAGGGAGCGAAATGCCCACGACTTCCCCTTGCCTGCTCGTGACATCCGAAAAAACCGACGGCATTCTCCACACCCACGCGGCGAGAAATGCTGCGTACCCGTAGACCGCGTAGACCGCGTTGTTTCGACCGTGCGCGTTGCGTAGACCGGGCGCGACCGACCGTGCCTTCTCGATTTCCTCTTCGCCACACAAGAAGCAAAGCACATCTCCGGGACCTTCATGGGCCTTGGATCGATCCTTGTTTTTATCAGGCCACAAGTGATGGTGGCCATTCTGGTTGGGTGACGTGAGGATGCACCAGGATGCTGAGGTTGGGCCAATCGGAGGATGCACGTTGCGTGGGCTTCATGTCCAGTTTTGTGGACACTTTGGGATGACTGCAGTTGTCATGAATCAACAGCAACCTATGCAAACGAGGTCCCCTATTCCGCAGATCCACCAATGGTCTTGCACTTGGAAAATTAGCACTGAACCTATAGGACTTGGGTTGGCTGGATGTACTTCCGATGATAAGAGTCTAAACAATGCACCCGTGCTCTTGTGCGGCAAGAACACCAATCGACTAAAAACGTCTCGACTCAAGATGTCTCAAGGAAAAAGAAGCAAGTACGAGTATTGTTTTGCATGGCGTACCAAGTTTTTTGGCTCTATGAAAACAAATGAAACAGGTTGTTTGCATTGCTTCCCCATGCCACCTGAAGGGCATGGCAACCTGTGCACCTGTGTTCACCAGTTTGATTCGATTCATGTGAAGTACCCAAATATGGCGAAGGTTCTGATCCATCTACAGATATCTACAGCTATTCTCTTGGTAGTACCTGCTTCGAAAATCTCTCTTGTCCCAAAGGCATTCTCAAAAAAGCTTCAGCACCCCCCCAGAACAGTCCCTTCTCTTTCGTCCCCGACGTTGATGAGACAGCACGTCTCAACAGCCGCCTAGGCGTGGAAAGGGATCAAGGAAAAGCTAAGAAAAAACTACAAATACGAGAATGTTCTTTGACATCCTACAAGCCGAGTGACATCCTACGCTGGACTCAAGCCTCAAGGTCTCGTGCTGGGGTCTCACATTCCACCAGAATAGCCGGAAATGCCAAGACTAGAAACAAACATCAGGCACCAATCTGTGGTGCCTGGTTGATTCTGCAGGAAATGTTGGATGGATTGGGAGTTGGCTATGCACACAATGCTTCGCTGAAGGAAGGGGCTTACTTGCATAGCTTCCACTCCCTCCAGTCATCTTGGCACCTGTGCTACAAGTGGTCGAAACTAAACAACTGCATGCTCAAGATGCAATCCATTGGCTACGATGTTCTTTGACGAGGACTATTAGTTGCCAGAAAGAATAGATAAGAAAAGTAAGACCATGTAAGACATATATATATATATATAAATTGGTTTTCACTATTAGATCTATATTGAATAACAATAGTCTTAGTATACAAATGTACAATAGTCCACAATAATCCTTTTAAAAACGTACATGGAAGTGATGAGAATCCGGTGAACAAACATCTGTGAGAGCGCCGGCAACCGGTGTCAGAAGAAGATATAGCGTTGGGCGTCCGCCAGCGTTGTGGCGTCACTCGGGTGATTGGATGTGTTGTTTGTTCCATATGATGTATGCCAACAGATGCAAGAAGTTGCTCGATGTGTTCCAAAAGCCAACAGATGCATGTTGGTTTGTGAACTGCGGATGTATACGTTGCAACTAGGAAAGCAGCGTCCATAGATAACAGGAGACGTTGTTGACGCATTCGCAAGTAGAATGATGTTGATGTTCCTACCCCGTTCAAGAACTCTGCTGATGTGTCGGCTGTGGTGCTTTCAAGCCCCTGCAATGCCTATCCCACAGGTCAACAACTTCATTTTACACACCAATGTCCTCTTCATCGCATCGACGGTCGACGATCCGAAAGCCCTGCCAAAAGTACTATAGTAACAAAGGGCATCGCTACTAGAAACAAGAAGCTACTATGTCGAGGCCATCGCTATTAGGTTGGAGGCCATTACTACTAGAAACAAGAA